TAAATAACTTCTAAAAAATTGCCAAAAACGAAATCTGCCTAAGTATAACATTTATTTGGTTAGTATAGAAATGAGTTTTMTATTTTTAAAATAAATTTTTCTATTAAATCTTAAATCAATGATTGATTAAGATTTACTAATATCTCAATAAGCTCGATATTCGAAGACTCTTCATAAAGAGACATATAGATAGTTGAATAAACTGAGCAAAGCTAAAGTCAATATACGCTTTTAACTTCATGAACCAATATAAATATCCTTAACTCTGCACGCTATCTCAATTAGCATAACAATCTTGATCAATAACATTCGAATGCAGTTGAGTTTTTCTATGTAAATTAGCCAAGTGCAGTTAACAAATGAAGGAAATTATGAACATCCATGTTAGCAAACAGTAACAAGAGTGCTGAAACAGTAGGAAATACGATGTTGTATTTCGCCCACCATTAACAATAGCTCAGATTGAAGAGATATGTGTATGAATATATATATTAATATATATTTCTTCACAATTATTTGCAGAGTTAACAAGTTCGTAGACGTAGAAATGTGCGTGTAGTCTAGTTCGCTGCAAAAATTAATTGAAGAATTTCACAGCACATAACGCTACCCTGCGAGCAAGAAAAAAATACAAAAAATATACAGCACACACAATGTCAGCTAATCACGGAACGGAGTTGCATGTTTTGCCACTAACATATTCAGATATGCACATGAATATTCAATGAGTGCGTTTTTGCGAGAGAGCGAAAAACTCAAAATCATTTTCAAATGCACTGCGATGGATTGAATGAGTGCAGAAAGTAAAATGCGAATACATATCATATTTATACACATATTATATTTATGTTAAGACGTATAATAAGACCGCTGACGAGGCATAGCCTAAATAGATGTAAGATATACAATCTGTTAATATAAACAAATGTTAATAAATCATACATCAAAATTTATTGCAAGACTCGAGACTTTGATGGACTGCGAAAGCCCATTAAAAAATAGATACGCAATTTATAATAAAGCTAAGTAAGTTTAGAAACGGAAGATGAGAAATGGCCTTTATATTAAGAGACGGGAGGGAGGCAGATTTTAACCGTTAAAAGTCTATCATATACTAGGTTGCTTTAATTCTTCCAAATAGCCTTTTTTTAAATTAAAAAAATATACATAATTCATCCGGCAATTTCTCAAGAAATCAACAAATAGTAGCCAGAGCTAAGTCAGCTTTTCAAATTTCGCTGTCAAAGCTCATTTGTTTGTTAGCTGCTTGAGCACACCTCGCAGAGCCCAAAACTCTGGCCATAAAACTATTTAAATGCACTTAAAACCACATTTTGCTCTTCATATTTTATTATAACCACTCAGATGTTAAAACAATTATTCCTTAAACACCCTTTAGTCTGAAGTATGTATATGCATACATATATAAATTCGCTCTATAACTAGGGCCAGCGTTACGTTTCGCTGATTTCCCCACAGCCGTCCGTGTAAGCCATCAGAATTTAGCGGTTAAATTATGCATAAATGAATAATTAAATTTTGTAATGGTGCAAATTGCGAATTGAATTGTTTTCGCTATTCCACACTTGCTGAACTTTGAATAACCTCAAACCTTTCTGGCGATAGTTCAGAGTCTAGAGAGAATGTATCTATATATGTAGGTTGTGTATAAGGAATACTAATCAAAAACGAAATTCTTTTCAAATGACAAAATGTTACTAAGTTGCATTAATATTTTATTATAATCTAAGGTCGCGCATGAATGTGAAATACCCTGTAAATTGATTAGCTATAATTTGTAATTTAATAAAATAATTCTGATAGGATTGAGGTTTCCATTAGATTAACAATTTATAAATGAAATAAAATTTTTCTTATCCCTAATCGACTAAATGGTTTGCTATAATCTAAGCTAACAACTAATTGCATACCCTGTATTCTACTTGAACTTTCAAAACTCCTGGATGTGAAATACCCTATTTTTTTTTATTTTTTTATTTTTTATTTTTTTTTTTTGCTCTTAAGTTTAATGCAAATATACGTGAAGCTAGAGAATTGGCGTTCGGCATGCGCTTCACACATATTTAGCCATAAGTTTTATTACCATCTTGAATATAGATATTCCTATGTATGTATATATAATAGCATGCAAATGGGGTAATGCTGGACATGTGTGCGCTTTAGCGGCAACTGGTTCTATGAGAGGGTAGCGGGGAGTAGAGAGCGGCGAGCGGGTACAGCTACAAAGTATATCAAGATGCAACAATATTTCCGCTGAGTGGAGTCGCGCTAGTACGAGACTCGGCTAAGTTGGCCTAATTAAAAATTCCTATGGGGCAATTGCAAAATTGGTTTCTTATCTTTCCTTTATTATCGGCGCCACGAAACGCCTAAACATGATGCGCTGATGGATAGCTGCCTCGGCGAGGGGCGGGTGTTGCAACATTTGACCGCATGCTCAACGGGGCCGGCTAGAGTGTGTGAGAGAGAGAGAGAGAGAGAGAGAGGGTGGGGGCAGAGGGAGGTAAAAGCAAAAAGAAAAACCTGCTGCATTTATGAATAATATTATTTACAGCATGATAATTTTCTGTTTCGGCTTTGCGCTCCTTGCAATCGCTTCTTACCATGCTGTTAATGCCTGCCAAAGCGACGAAGCCGTTTTGTGAAGTATTTTCTGTTTATGGCCCGAGTCACGCGATATTAAGTACTCACTCGCACTAGCTGCGTGCGCTCTTTCATCGAGTTCAAAGCATTGCACTCACGCCCGTACCCAAAACTCACTTAAAGCCAGCTAAAAAGCTTTTGTCAACTGCCATCTGAACTTTATACGGCTTAAAGCACTTATATGGATTTAAATGGGCATAATTTAGAATAAAGTCTCTAATTGAACTAGTAAGCAAATCTAGCAAGATAATTTACTCTGAGTGAAATGTATTTTACTTAGTAATTGTATTGGTTGCTTTGATATTGTAGAATCAAATTAGGCATAGTCTCGGATGTAATTAGAGTTCTCATTTCGAATGAGACTGCAATTAAAACATTTTTTATACAAGCTATACATACTATATATTCAGACAATTACCTTAGAATGGGTTCAATTAGTCTTAGTAAAATACTGTTTTAAAATAAACATTTCAGTCATTCGTCACATTTGAGCACATGGCTTTAGTGCAAAGTAGTATACCCTACAACATATACCCTATACATATCAATAAAAATCTATCAAAATATGCCAATAATTAAACTACTCAAACCTAGGCAACGACCCAGTTTAGAAATTACATATACATATATAATTTATAATAA